GCGGTTTTATAACAATCAAATTTAATTCGTTTGTATACTTTTCTTTAATTTCTTTCAACTTTCTAACTTTAAACTCCCAAGAAACAAACAATGCAATGTTAAAATCTGATTTAATTCATTTTTCTGAACAAAAAGTTAAAAAAAAATCAAACTTTGATTCGCTTATATACTTTCCTTCAATTTCTTTCAACTTTCTAACTTTAAACTCCCAATAAACAAACAATGCAATGTTAAATTCTGATTTAGTTCATTTTCCTGAACAAAAAGTTAAAAAATTTCAAAATTTGATCTAATTATTTCCCTATTTATATTTCTTAACATAAACCAAATTGATAAAAGCTGCGATTTTATAACTATAAAATTTGATTCGTTTATATAATTTTCTTCAATTTCTTTCAACTTTCTAACTTTAAACTCCCAAGAAACAAACAATGCACCTGCATTGTTCTCTTACCGAAGCCCGGATCAAGATGAACGAAGCTATAACTCTTCCCTGTGCATAATTTATTTATATAACTACGATTGGGTCGAGTGCAAAACGCCTGGAATTAGAAAGGAGGGAGAGAAGAGAAGAAATTTTCCGACGCTCTTATCTTTATGTACGCCCTCCAGCCATTCAGGTCATAAAATTTTATATATATATTTTTTGCTTCCTCAGAGGGGAAGAACGCCCCTATTCCACAATGCGAATGGGATATTCTACATTACAAATCCATTAATAATTAAACCTGTACCACCCTAATGTACTGCTTCCCAACTACTGCGAATTCCCCTTGGCATTTCCCAACTTGTCCCTAAGACTTGCACAACGTACAATTTATTGTTAGAGCTCTCACATCTTCCTTTTTAATCATACTATTAGATTATTTACGAATTTAATCCATCGGATCTTTTCATGTATCTTAGAAACGTTTTTATACTTAATACTACTTTTGTGCAGCTAGTAAACATCAATTTATACAATTTATCCCAACAAATTTTAAGAACTTAATACAGAAACAAACATAGTTTATTCACATTTATTTGTAAGATCAAATAACAAATTCTTACTTTTATTATTTGCAAATTGAACCCAATACTAATGATAAACTAATATGAACTTTAGTACTTTATACAACTTGCATAAACTACTTAGTTAGTAGTTGCATAATTCACTAGTGTGAAACTATTGTACGTTTCATCACTATTAGACCTCTTACTGTTAACTACACTATTATATTATTTACCAATCTTCTTGGTATAAATTCATCTAATTAATCCCAAATGTTACAAGTTAAACAACACGAATATATTACTTCGTTCGCAGTTGTTCACTTACGTTGCATATTTACTTCACTAATGTGAAACTATTCTATTAATAATGCTGTTCCTCGAAATGCGAGTTCCAAGTAAATATTTAACGAACCGCTCCTAATGTACCAATTTACTTCTATGCAGCAGGAAAATGCACTTATCATTAACATTTTTAAAAACTCGTTTACGGTAACAACGCTCTTTAATTTATTGAATCCGTTAATTTTTATGTGATTCGAATGCATTTTCAGCTATGAACCAATAAAAATAAGTTTATTCGAACAAATTAATCTGTAAAATAGTTTTTCAGTTTCAATTTCATCATGAAATTTCACAAATTATAAATATAAAACTGTATGCAAATTTGAGTTCTAATCTAATTGACTACAACCTTAACAAATCCAACCTAACCTAACTTTATACGTTATATAACCTCACTTTATAGTTTAACTAATCGATTTTAAAATTGTGATGATATTTGCTGAAATTTTAAATATAAAACTTTATGCAAATTTGAGTTCTAATCTGATTGACTACAATCTTATCTAACCCAACTTAATAAATTACCTAACCTAACTTAATACGTTACATAACCTCACTTTATAATTTATGTAACCTAACAAATATAACATAATCTAATCGATTTCAAAATTGTGATGATATTTGCTGAAATTATAAATATAACACTGTATCCAAATTTGAGTTCTAATCTAATTGACTACAACTTAATAAATTACCTAACCTAACTTAATACTTTACATAACCTCACTTTATAGTTTATCTAACCTAACAAATACAACATAACCTAATCGATTTCAAAATTGTGATGATATTTGCGAAATTATAAATATAAAACTGTATCCAAATTTGAGTTCTAATATAATTGACTACAACTTAATAAATTACCTAACGTAACTTAATACGTTACATAACCTTACTTTATAGTTTATCTACCCTAACAAATATTACATAACCAAATTGATTTGAAAATTGTGATGATATTTGCTGAAAATATAAATACAAAACTGTATGCAAATTTAAGTTCTAATCTAATTGACTACGACCTTATCTAACCCAACTTAATAAATTACCTAACCTAACTTAATACGTTACATAACCTTACTTTATAGTTTATCTAACCTAACAAATATAACATAATCTAATCGATTTCTAAATTGTGATGATATATGCTGAAATTATAAATATAAAACTGTATGCAAATTTAAGTTCTAATCTAATTGACTACAAACTTATCTAACCCAATTTAATAAATTACCTAACCTAACTTAATAGGTTACATAACCTCACTTTATAGTTTATCTAACCTAACAAATGGAACATAATCTAATCGATTTCAAAATTGTGATGATATTTGCTGAAATTATAAATATAAAACTGTATCCAAATTTGGGTTCTAATCTAATTGACTACGACTTTATCTAACCCAACATAATAAATTACCTAACCTAACTTAATACGTTACATAACCTCACTTTATACTTTATCTAACCTAACAAATACAACATAATCTAATAGATTTCAAAATTGTGATGATATTTCCTGAAATTATAAATATAAAACTGTATGCAAATTTGAGTTCTAATCTGATTGATTACAACCTTATCTAACCCAACTTAATAAATTACCTAACCTAACTTAATACGTTGCATAACCTCACTTTATAGTTTATCTAACCTAACAAATACAACATAACCTAATCGATTTCAAAATTGTGAAGATATTTGCTGAAATAATAAATATAAAACTGTATGCAAATTTGAGTTCTAATCTGATTGACTACAACCTTATCTAACCCAACTTAATAAATTACCTAACCTAACTTAATACGTTGCATAACCTCACTTTATAGATTATCTAACCTAACAAATATAACATAATCCAATCGATTTCAAAATTGTGATGATATTTGCTGAAATTATTAATATAAAACTGTATGCAAATTTGAGTTCTAATCTAATTGAACCAAACCCAACTTAATAACTTACCTAACCTAACTTTATACGTTATATAACCTCACTTTATAGTTTATCTAACCTAAAAAATACAACATAATCTAATTGATTTCAAAATTGTGTGATATTTGCTGAAATTATAAATGTAAAACTGTATGCACATTTGAGTTCTAATCTAATTGACTACAACTTTATTTAACCCAACTTAATAAATTATCTAACCTAACAAATACAACATAATCTAATCGATTTCAAAATTGTGATGATATTTGCTGAAATTATAAATATAAACCTGTATACAAATTTGAGTTCTAATCTGATTGACTACAACCTTATCTAACCCAACTTAATAAATGACTTAACCTAACTTAATACGTTACATAACCTCACTTTACACCTTATCTAACCTAACAAATATAACATAATCTAATCGATTTCAAAATTGTGATGATATTTGCTGAAATTATAAATATAAAACTCTGATTGACTACAACCTTATCAAACCCAACTTAATAAATTACCTATCCTTACTTAATACGTTACATAACCTCACTTTATAGTTTATCTAACCTAACAAATTTAACATAATCTAATCGATTTCAAAATTGTGATGATATTTGCTGAAATATTGGATGAAATTAAAAATGTTTTAGAAACAATTACATTGTTGTGGAGTATAATTGAATTTAACGTGTAGTATAAAAATGGTTATGCACTTGGAACGAAAAGTAATTTGAAAAAAGTCTAAAAATAATGAACGCCGTGTATCGTACTAATCCAGGCCATAACTCGGGTTGCAGAGTAATCCCCGACCCGCTGCATTATGAGAATTTCCATTAGGAAAACTAAACGTAATGAGGCGCGTATGGAGGAATCTTCCATTGGGATGTGGGATTAAAGCGCGTGCATTATTTAGATTTTCTTTTGTCAGTTGCTTAATTAAAACTTAATAAACAAAAAAAAAAAGAACGGACCGGTTTAATCTCGGGGCTCTTCCACTCTCTGTGCATACGATATAAGCGACTTTGCTTGGAAGAGCAACATGGCACAAGACCAGAATACATAATGAACGTTGGCTACGCGAAACAAGGGAATTTACAATGTCGGATTATTCGCGTTTCGCAAAACCTTGAAGACCCTTAAACTCATCCGTAATGAGCGATTATTTTCTGTGAAAAAAAGAAAATAAGTGTTATTTTTGGGTGTGCCGTAAATAAGGGTGTGAATAACGTTCAGCGGAGCTCGTAACTCCTCACACTATGATCCACCCCAAGCGTCTGCGTATTCTATTTATAATATTACCGCTCTCCTAGGGGATGCATAGATCACGTTAAACTCACGCCGCTAAACTCATCCAGTAAATCATTTACTGGGAAATATTTACAGGACAAAGTATCTTTTAATCCTGGGTGCAGACAACACTTCCAACGTGATTTACAACGTATGGAATAAAAATGAAATTCGCAAAATTAATTTCGTTTTTCCCCTTTGATTTCTCCACGCAACACATCGAAAACTTTTCCAATTAAACTCGGGGAATTGTAACAACAAATACGTCCGAAATTCTAATAGGAAAATTTCAATGCAATTGTTTCCTTCAAACTCACGTCGCAATTTGTCAATAGCGTCCGTCGCATAATTAATCGCATAACTGAATCTGCATTTCAAATCTGCTTTGAGATTTTCAGAAATAATTTGTTCATGTTTTCATAAATTTGTTTCTTTTTTTTTCAGGATTATTGTCCTGGGATGTGAACAGTTGCTTGGTCGATCTGGAGAAGGAGTTGAAGATTATCACAGATTTAGCGCTCGATGGAGAGGAGGCGAGATATGGTAAGTCGCTCCATTCATTCCAGCCTTGATTAAGCTGCTCCTTTTTACCCAACGTTTTTTTTTATTTGCTGCTCTTTTGACGCCCCCGAATAAGGGATGAAAGACGCGCTGAAAGCTGGAATATATATATATATCAGCCTTTAAAGGGATGTCACGGTTCCTCTTCTTCTCTTCTTTTTTTTTATTTATTTATTCGCTATTCACGGTGCGAACATCCATGAAATATTTAAATATCCGAACTGCGCGTACATCATTTCATCCCCTGCGGATGGGTTTTCAATTATTTCGTACAAAATTTAAATTATTGGGATCGATCCCGGCGATGTGCCTCGAGGGTGAATAAATGTTTCAGTTGAAATGTTTGTTTCATCCCTTGTATTTCTCTGTCTCTGTACACATATATATGTGTGTATGTGCCTATCTCTTCCATTTTATGTACGAATTCGCGTCGCCGTCGCCTATTTCCTGCATACCTCGCAGTTCCTTTGTGCTTCCTGCTCTTTCTTTCTACTTTCTGCACGAAAATATTCCTCCTCAAAGCAACTAGCGTTTTTCCTACTTTTATCTTCCTCGATTACAGCCTGCTACTCCCATTCTTTGCCTCATACCAAAACGATAAAAATCTAATGGCGCTATAATCCAATGGCAGAAAAGCGTGTTTTGCATCTAGCAAAAGGGAATACAATAGATCCTTCAATGCCTACGAATAACCCACATTGATCCCAACTTCAACATTTTATTGATATAGCATTCTAATTTAAACGTAATATTCAACATATTCAAATTGTATTAAAAAACTGACAAAATATCAAATTTGAAACAAAGTAAATTTTATTGTAGGAATTGTTACTTGCTTCTTTATAAGTTGTACAATAAATGCTCTTGGTCTGAGACAACACAAATCCTCAAAGGAGCTCATATATTTTGAGAGCCTTGTGCCGAGGAAGAGACTGCGGCAAGAACGTTTACAAATTTAAGCGAAAACTACTTTATGAGTTGCCCTACATTTTTTATACCACAGTTCAAACCAAGCTGTATATATACTATTGTATTTTATAAGACTTGACTGTAAATATTTCATAATACTTAATTTATGATGAATGAATTTATTGTTTTATAGTATGTATATACTTCTGTATTCATTGCTTCATGCCACTAATCAATAACATGCTTAAAAACTGAACCTATTTCTGTTTTTAACCTTGATGTACACCAGCATAGTTCTCAAAATAGGCACACATGTAATTATCATAAACCGTCTATTATTTTACTGAAATTAATGGATTTCTCAAACACAAATTTATGATTTTCATAACTACATAATTTAATAATCAAAATTGCAATCTGAAAATGAAAAATTATAATCTTTATAGTGGAAAATAACCAAAAGTAGTAAAGTTGGAATAATTACGACACAAATTGGTATTTCTTGTTGTATTGTGGAAAATTGGATATTAAATGAGAGAAAATAATAATTAAAAAAAAATGATGAAAGAGGCAAATCAGAATTAATCTTCTAACGAAACAAGAAGACAACAACATCTGATTGAGTATTGATTCGGATAAAGCTTTTTCCGCGCTTTCACCGCAATCTTCGAGAAATAATCCCTGCATCACTTTAAGGCTTCTCTCGGATTAATCTCGCTAACTTCGAAGATTGCAACTTTGTCTTTCATGTTTCATCGTAGTTTATATGTTGATGTATACGGATAAGCTTTAGTTGACATGTATCTCAACCAAACTTAACAATCAAAAGGGATTTAAGTTTTTGGAATTAAACATTTGAAATCCATCACAATTCCAGTTTTTAGTTGATCATTCGATCAAAATTTTAAAATAAAGATTTTTTTTTAAATTTATAAATCAATTCATCATAATTACTTATAGGAATTGAAATAAAAACTATACTAATTTATTTTTGCATTTATGAAAAAATATAAAATGTAAATGAGAAAAAAAAGTATAATTACTGAGTAAAATGGAATAAAGGTAATTGAAAAGAAAAACATAAAGAATCAGTACCGCAAGTTGCTAATGAAACCAAAGTCAGTGGAAGAAATCAGCTGGAGAGGCTTAATTGATTGCAGCTGCGTAATTCCATTAAAGCATAATGAAACGAAGCGTGGATGGAAAAATAACGTTTAAAGTTGGTTTAGTATAAATAAATCGATGGGATTGCGAGTGAAAACTAATTGGTTAAACAGTAGTTATCCAATTGAGAGCGGAGCTCCGCACGTTAACAAGAATTATCGACGAGATATAGCCCGAGTCGAAAATTCCGTGGATAATGCATGGATGCAACAGCAGAAGCTCTCCGCTCGTTTATTATTTAAACTCCGCTCGAAGAAGTTTTCCCAAATCGCTTTGCAGCTCAGTTATTCAGCGCAAACTTTTCATGCGCCCACAGAAAATAAAATTGAACAAAAATAAAGAAAGAAAAACAAGAAGTTTCGGAGGTGAAGATCGATGCTCTTCCCAAACTGCAGAGCAGAAGGAGAAAGGGACAGAGAACGTAAGATTTAATTATACTTCGCAAAGGGAAGACCCATGGGTGTGGACGTGGTGCAATTTGCATGCGCTTAACATCCCATTGTTCCATCAACGGTATGAGTAATGCATTCCGGGGCGGCAATAAAAAAAACCTCTACAACATAACAATAACTGCAAGAAGTGAAAACGAGCAACGTATTATTATTATTATTCACGCTTTGCAGCTCTCGGATTAATGTTTTAAATGAGTGCAGATGAGACGTTGCAGACGCAAATAATACCACGTTGTAATACAACTCGAATTTCGACGCTGCAACCGGATCCTTCGTAGGTATATCTTCATCATCCACGAAAATAAATCAAGTGAAAACGACGAGATATTGCGGCTCGCGTTCTTTCAAATGCCAATGTCCCAAGTGCATTTCTAATTCCGTAATGTCAAAGAACTTTATTACTTTTACGGCTACTAAAATTGGACACTTGCCATTAAGATCACTATCCTCCCATACGATGTACATATTCCATTATGCTCAACAGGGAAGAGATATTTGCATTTTATACTGGCGCGTCCACTTTTCTCACTCCACGTCTTCTCATCCTCTTCACCTTTTTTTATACTTTCTTCGCTAAACTCGTTTCAATTCGTCTGGATCTTTGCCACATGAGATAATACATTATTTTGTTTCTTCTTCTACGTTTTTTTTTATTCTGTGTATGTTGAACTTTCGTGCACGTAGACTAGAGCCAAATGTATATTTCAATTCACCGCATTCCTCCTCTGATCAAATGGAGCTTTTAGCCAAAATTTAGGAGATAGTTACTGTCCAGAAAGTAATAGTTTTAAAACATCTGCAGCTTCCAACGAGAATGCATTTAATGTTCTAGCGGCATCTGTAACGCATCCGCATTTGTACTTTATGGCTATAAACTGGAACCCATTAACATTAATTGCATGCTGTACGAACGTATTTGAATATCTCGAAAAATAATCTTCATTACCAACAACATAATCTGTTCTAGATTATAAGAACAATATGCTGCAATTCAATATGTTAATAAGATTAAGATTAACAAATCCGAATTTATATAATAAGATGAAGACCATGTTAGACTATGTTAGAAGTTAAATCAAGTAATTAATAAATTTATAAAAAGACATAACGCTGATACCTCAGTTAAGATTTAGTTTAAATTTGATAGTTCAAAATCTTTGTGTGAAATAAATGGAAATTGTCTTTGAGATTGTTCGAATAGAATAGAATGATATTTATGAGGCTCGAGTCAACGTAGAAGTGATCCTGTTTCTGAAGACAAGACAGTTCAAAGCATTGATGAGGTTGCATTCAAGGATTCCGAGTCGTTTTTGCATCAGTGTCTCCGAGATTTGAATGCAGAAATGTAGTCGCTCTTCCCGAAATTGCCCAGCCGTAAAACTGGAAAGCCTTTCAGCCTTTTGACTCGAAATTGCTTGTAAATGTCAGCCGCTTTGCATTGCTTTAAATTTACCGTTGTTCCTGTTGTTCCTTTCTGCTCCTGCGGATACTTAAAGTGCGAAATATTGCACGTTTCCCTCTTCATTTATATTACCACGAACGGCGTCCGTCTTCCCATTAAAACCATCAACGTTCACTTTAATTGAATTAATATTTCTGAGGTCAATTATTATATAATAAACAACAAATTCAACCACAAATTTATAAATTTATTCATTTCTTTCATTAAATTTACATAATTTCATAAATATAATTGTTTGTTATAGATTATTATTATTATATTACGTAAAGTATATAAATTGCAAAACACTTTAGATAATGAACTAATTTCAATACAAAAGTTATAATTATTACCTCACTGTTAAAAGTTTCCTTTCAATAGGATTATGAAATTAATTCTATTTATGTGTGCATATTGAACAAAGCAGTAAATTTCTATTTTTCTAATACGTTGAAATCTAATTGGAATACGTAACTTAGGAAGGGGATGTGATAATGTGATGCCATTAAATTTGGGTCCAAACTTGCATAGGCAAGATTATGGTATCAACTCGGCACGTTGTTCGACGTCAATTCAATGCCTCAGCATGGAGTTTCAGGTTGGACCCGAAAACTCTTAGTCATCGCGTTATCCGGCTGACAGATAATTGCGAATGTCGTGTACAGTTTGCGTTTTTGTGGTACGGCTATATATAGGTTTGTAGTGAGGTATTCATTACGAGTCTTATGCATATTTAATAACAGCACGGTCTGGTGCTCACGTGCATACACACACTCTGATATATCCACATACAAAAGCCGTAGGGGAGAAAAATAGATTCGAATTCGCACGGTCAATTCATCCATTCACGTTCGTAATCCCGAGGAATTATAATCGCTTAGGTCAGGGGTCATCTAAATTAATGAATCCGTCTCGTTCCACGTCGATCGTCCATCGAATCAATATTTGCGCGGCATTGGGATAGGCTTAGAGAACCTAATCTTGTTATAGGCGTACGAGGGTGAAACAATAAAACCACGATGAAAGGGAACAAAAAAAAAATGAGGGTGATGAAGAAAAAAAAAGTAGTTGTAGTAGTAGCACCACCTATATTTCTCCGTTAAGATTTTGCAGCGTGTCAGCGAAAATGTATTGTGTGTGGTGGTTCGAGGGGATCCTCTTAAATCTTGCAGAGATGGCGGGGCCTCTCGTGAGAGACCACTTTTATTATACGGCACTACAGAACAACCAGTGCCGGATTTAGGTGGCGTCTGGAAGGGTGAAATATTATGGTTCTGTATTGCGAGTACGTCTCTGGTATACGATTGACTAATTGGATTTAATTCGAACGTGATTTCGGCATAAAGAGAAACTATTGGATCGAATTCGCAGTTCCGAGCGAACGGTTTATTTACCAGAGACATGAATGTCTTCATAAAGAACAATCAAACGAATTAAATGTATCTATTTTATTGAAACTAAAAAAAGTAGTGAATACGTAGAAAAAGTACAATTTATAAACGATTAATTGTATTGTATAAATAATTCTGTATTTATTTTCTGTCTTTTTTTTAGGTGAAAGATTGATACAGTATGCATCGGAAAATTTGGTGACTGAGATCCTGATCCATCCTGCAGTGAGCACGTTGTCGCAGTGCGTGAGGAATTTGCTGAGCAGCTTCACTCGCCACAGGCACATCATTCATACCGGATACACGTTTGGAGCGAATGGCTCGTGGGCATTGCAGGTATCCTATCTCAAGAGAACAGCGCTTCAAATAGATTTGTAATAATTTGTAATGTGAAATCGATTTGCAGGATGGAACGTTCTCGCTCGCCGACTTCTCAGAGGCTTTCCAAGAGCTCGAGGTACAGCGCGTCATCAGAGCGTACGAGAACAGCATCACCGTCGATCTGCATTGCGCCCCCGAGGGGGATTGGTCCAGGTTGCCGAAGGAGAGTTTCGCGAAGAACTGCAAGGTGCGCCTGAATCCCGTCGATGTGCTTGCCTCGGGCAGCCCATCCATCGGGAACTTCCTAAATTATATTTCTCCTTTCCTAATCCCAATGGATATTGAAACGGCGCTCGAGAGTTCCGAGGTCGTTGGCAATATCAGATTCTCGCACCCCACGCTCTACGTTTTCCCGGGAGGTCAAGGAGACGCGGCGCTTTTCGGCATCAACGGCTTCAATATGCTGTTAGATGGCGGATTCTCGAGGAAAGCCTGCTTCTGGGACTTCGTGCGGCACTTGGATCGATTGGACGCCGTGCTGCTAACCAGATTCAACAACAGCAACGTTTGCGGCATCAGCTCCGTCCTCAAACGGAAACGTCAGAACGCCGTCTATCCGCAAGTTGGCCACTTCTTTTCCAACATTCAAGTAATTACATCACAACTACGAATTAATTTCCAATTACGGCCAGAATATTAATATTATTAATTTTCAGGAACGTAAAGCGATTCTTAGCCCGGACGGCGACAAGGACAAGGATCCGCTGCTGATCAATCTTCTGGATGAAGGTCACGACATCGTCTCCAACTTGAAGCACCTGAATCTGTCTCCGCAAGCTTGCTACCGTGACTCGGAGCCGATCAACTTGTATCACAAGGTCGGCCACGGCACCCTCGACATGTACGTGCTGAGTCCTGCTAAAGAGAGCAAAGAGGTGCGAGAGTTCCTCCAGAAATGGAACAGCAACGATCAGAAACTTTTCTCGAATGTGAAGAGCGGCAAAGAGTTCACATTCCCGCTTCCAAATCTTGTGTCAATATGCGCTTTACTCGTCTGGCAACCGTCCAATCCGGATGACAACATAACCAGAATCCTATTCCCTGGAAGCACTCCACAGGCCAAAATCTTCGAGGGTCTAGACCGCCTACGCCAATTAGACTGCATTAAATATCCCGTCTGCACTGAAAAGTCCTTACAGCCGCCCACCATTAAGAAAAGCAAAGATAATATTTTAGATAAGATTATTCCCATGCAACAAAAGATAATCCCCGACAAGAAAGAGCGACCCGCCAAGGTCCAAGAGAACAAACCGAAACTGGATAACAAGATCGAGATCTCCGAGAGAATCGTGAAGAAGACTGACTCCACGGACAGCGAAAGGAGTGTGCAGCATAAGACCGAAGACAAAGTGATCAACGGAAAGTCCGAAGACAAACCTAAGCCGAAAGTGAAAGAATCCAAACCTATCAAGAAGTTGGACGCTAATAAAATGGCGGAACGCAAAGCTAAACCGCTTGCTGATAAGAAACCATCGCCAACTACACCCAAGAAAACTTTAAACGGTGACGCCAAAGAACCGCTCAAGCAAAAACCGAAAATATCCCCAAGCTCTACTCCCGCTAAGAGCGCCAAAGAAGCAAACAACCGCAAGGTCTTGGAATCCAAGAAACTTAAGAAGGAAACTCCGCCGAAACCGGCACCGGAGAAGAAAGAAGCTAAACCTGAGAGGAAGCCAATTTCGCGGAGACCAAAGCCCGCTCCACCAGCTACCAAAGCTTCGACCGGAAGCCCGATCAAGCGCGTCCAGAAACCAGATAGCATCGCCAAAAAGACTAAACTCGACAAAGAAGGCACAACTGACTCTAGTACTGTAAGTACCCCTTCAGCCGATCAAGAAAATAAGAAAGACATATCAAAACTCAGTCCGGAGGATATTGAGCAACTCAAGGCTCAGGAATTGGCCGATCTTAAGGAGGAACAGGAAGTGGTGCAGGAAATCGAAGCCGTTTTCCGTAAAGGCGAGGAACGCGACACCGATGATACCGAACTCAGGAAAATCAAGAACATTTCCATCGAGGAGAAAACCGATCCAGAAGAATATCTCATCGTTGAAAAAGAAGTTACCGAACCTGAACCAGCTCCAGTAGAAGCGGAAATCAAAGAAGACGAAATGCAGAAACACGCGAGAGACAGCGAAGAATCAGAAAAGCAGAGGAAGTTGAGCGCTGAAATCGCGAAACCTGAAGAGAAGATTGAAGCAATCAAGGAAGCGCAGATCACCAGCCCCGATGATAAATTTGATAGCGACAAGAAAGCGGAAGTGCTTGAATCGCAACCCGATGAAAAATTCTCGGCGACCGTTGAATCTGGAGCGACAACTGCACCCACTCTTCCCGAAGACGAAAGGATTCCACTGGACGAGATCAAGGAAGTCGAGCACGTAATTGAGGAGAAATACGTTAAAGAGGAAACCAAAGAAAAGGAAGTTCCTATCATTCAATTGCCAGCGAAAACCTTCGAACCTATCCCCAAGTTAACTCCGGTCGTCGGCATTCGTCTAGATAAGCAGACTCACATTCGAGACATTGTCAAGACCCCGGACGAAGTAGCTGATTTGCCGATGCATGAAGTTGCTGACCACTATGATTATCATCAAGATGATATGAAATCTCCCAAAGATTCGCAAAAGAAATTGGACGATATTCAAGCGCAAACGACAGCCGTAGTTAAGGAAGCGCTGCATGAAGTCGTTACCGAAACTACGAAGGAACTTGCTGAAACATTAAAGAAGACTGAAGAAAAGACTGCTACTGAACCATTCCAAAAAGACATAGTGAAAACCGTCGAAGAAACTAAGGAGGAAATCAAGGGAATTGTCGACGAAATTATTGAAGAATCCAAGGAAAACGTGCAACAGTTAATTGATGAGACTAACGCTGCAAAATTGGAATTAGAAAAGGATGCATTAAAGATGAAGGATGAACCAGCAGAGTCAAAAACTGAAACAAAACCAGAAATTGAAGAAGCCAAAGATGAACTAAAAACTCAGGACGACATCAAAGAAGTCGATGAGATTATTAGTAAAGTAGAGGTGAAAGACATTGCTGAAGAAATTAAACCAAAAATAGATGATACAGTCAAAGCTTCTACAGAAGAGAAAGAAGAAGTTGACATTAAAGAAACTGACAAACATGAAGTTGAAAAAGAATCTAAAGATATAGAAATTAAAGAAAAAGCTGAAGACACACAACCAGATGAAGATTCAGTAGATACAACAGAAGCTGAGAAACAAGATGAACATGAAATAACAAAGGAATCTGCAGACTTAAAAGTCGTAGATACTGATAAAATTGAAGAAGTTAAAGAGGAAATCACAAAACCTGAGAAAGACGATGAAGAGAAAGAAAAACAAGACTTAGATAAAGAACCTGTTTCCGATATTAAGGACAAGGAAGTGGTGGAAGAGATTAAAGGAGAAGACCAGAAAGATCAAGAAATTGTTTCTTCGGTTACAACAGACAAAGAGTTTACATCTGAGAAGAAATTACAAAAGGAAGAAAAAGAACTGGATGATAAAGAATCCAAAGACGAAGAACTACCCTCTGAGGTAAAGGATACAAAATCAATTGAAGATGCTAAAGATATTGAGGATACCAAAGATAAGGAGTTTCAACTGCAAGAATCCAAAGATATAGAAAAGGCAGTTTCTGTACAACAAGACAAAGAGGAGAAAGATGACTCGGATGTGAAAGAGACTAAAGACAAAGATCTGCATGAAGTAAAAGATCAAGAAAAGCCAGCAGAATTACAAGAATCTAAGGATACTGACATTAAAGAAACTAAATCAGAAGATTTAGTTTCTGAAACTGTATGTGAATTGGAAATCAAACCAATTAAAGTTGAACCAAAAGAGATCGAAGGTGTTCTGCTTAAAGACAGCACCATGACAGTGGAAGTAAAGAAAACTAAAGAAGAAGTTGAGGAATCTTTAGAAAAAGAAGCTGCATCAGATATTAAAGATCTGAAAGATGAGTCTGATGTTAAGAGTGCTGTTATTCATGATGATGAAAAGCAAATTGAAACTCAATTAGAACAACTTGAAAAAGTTGATGTTGTTCCTGAACACAAAGAAGACAAGGAAGAAATGAAAAAAGCTGATATTCAACCAGCTAAAGATGCTTCTGAAGGTCTTGAAAAGGAATCAGAAAAACAAGAAGAAATTGTTAAACCTGCTGAAACAGAAAAAGTCGTATGTGAAATAGTTAAAGAGAAAGATCTTCCAGAAAAAATGGATATTTCCAAGCCTAAGGAATATGTAGTTGAAGAAACTAAAGATGAAGACAAACCTGATATTAAAGAATATGTATTTGCCAAAGTCGATTCGAAAATTGAAGATAAAATGAAAGAAGATGAAATCAAACAAGTTGAATCAGAAGTTAAAGATGAAAAAACTAAACCCGAAGATATCCAGGATTTAAAACCATCTGTAGTTGTCGATGATAAAGCAGATATGAAACAGATGGAAGTCAAGGAAGATGTTTTAGAATCTAAAGAAACTAAACCAGAATTGGCTGAACCAGAAACCAAAGAAGTTGAGACTAAACCCGACATGAAAGAGAAAGATGTTAAAGAGGACATTTCCATTTGTAAATTGGAAACTAAAGAACAAGTCGTTGAAACTAAAGATTTAAAATCAGAATTGGAAACTAAAGAAGTAAAACCAGAAATGGAAATAGAAGAAGATATTCCAGAAAAGAAAGTGACAAAAGAAGTTGTCGAAGTAAAAGCTGAATCAGTAGTTGAATCAAAGACATCGGAATTAGATGTTAAAGGATTGAAAGACGATGAGCAAGACACTAAGATATTATTGAAATCTAAAGAAGTTACTTCAGAGAAGGAAGAAACTAAGCCACAACTAGAAACTAAAGATATTTCTGAAGGTAAAAAATCTGATGTTGATACTAAAGAGTATCTTCCGGAAAAGGAAGAAATTAAAGCAGAATTGGAAACAAAAGAAAAAGTCTGCGAGTTGAAAGATATGAAACAAGAATTGGAAACTAAAGAAGAAGTAATGGAAAAGAAAGAAGAGAAACCAGAAATGGAAATCAAAGTAGATGTCATGGAGAAGAAAGATACTAAACCAGAATTGGAAACAAAAGCAGAAGACATTGGCGAAAAACAAATTAAAGAAGAATTAGAAACTAAAAAAGAAATAATGGAAGAGAAAGATGTAAAACCAGAATTGGAAAGTACAGAAGAAGTTATGGAGAAGAAAGACACTAAACCAGAATTGGAAACTAAAGAAGAAATCGTTGAGAAGAAAGAAATTAAACCAGAATTGGAAACTAAAGAAGTCGTAGAGAAGAAAGATACTAAACCAGAATTGGAAACTAAAGAAGAAGTCACAGAGAAGAAAGATACTAAACCAGAATTGAAAGCTAAAGAAGAAGTCGTAGAAAAGAAAGACACTAAGCCAGAAATGGAAACTAAAGAAGAAGTCGTAGAGAAGAAAGATTCTAAGCCAGAATTG